TTATATGTCTGGAAGAATAAATGGTGGAGATTAGATCACAATCTCTTCTAGGTGTTCATCGTTGCCCGATAAGACTTATTATTTATTATGCGAGCTACATCTGGACTCCACATTCTATAGAATCCTACTCAGTTGAATTGTGTTGACATAGTCTAGCATTTCTTTGCATGATGTAGTCATAATGTGCATGATGTAGTCATAATGTATTAGTTTAATTCTCCATTACCGTTAAAGAAATGATTGCTTATTCACCATTTTTTTTTAATTTCTTTTATTTTTTATGATCAACATATAAAACCAGTTTTCATAACCACTAAATCATTTAAAAATAGGGAAGGACATATGTTGATAAGATGTAGATATCAAATATAGGGATGTGACCAGATAAAGTAATGTCGTGCACACATCTGAATGGAACATTCACATTTTTTATGCATGATATGGCGTAGAATTTTGCCAGACTCAATAATAAGGATTCTATCTTGTTCATTTGGTAGAGTCCATAATGTTTCTGGAAGACTAATTGGGGGAGATTTGATCAAAATCTCTTTAAGGTGTTCATCGTTGCCCAATAATACTTTCTATTGTTATTTGAGCTACATCTGGACTCCACATTCTATTACTTCAACTTGGTTGAATTGATTTTGTTGGTGATGTTTCACCCATGTGTTTTAAAAACCAGCTCGAAAGTGAAACCTTGTGTTGCTAAAAATAATATCAGAGCCAGGCACTGGGCGACGTGTCAGCGAGGACGTTGGCCTCCAAAGGGGGATGAATTGTGAGATTCCACATTTGTTTGAGAGGGGAACGAAACATTCCTTATGAGGGTGTAGTAATCTCTCCCTAGCAGACATGTTTTAAAAACCTGTTTTTACCTCTTCCAGTGTTCACATTATTCCATTACTAGTACTAAATGAGCCATCATAGTGTATATTTATTCAAGATCCAAGAAGTTCAGGATTGATACTGCATCTTTACTTATCCATCTCTGATTCCATCTGTTATTTTCTTTTTCTGATTAGTTTATTATTATAATCAAATAATATCCAACAGTATGTTTCAGGTTGAGACACTGTTAGATAGCATAAAATGGGATGACAAAGGTCTGGCAGTAGCTATAGCTCAAAATGTTGACACGGGGGCTATACTAATGCAAGGATTTGTGAACAAGGAGGCTATTGCTACAACTGTTTCCCAACGTAAGGCTACATTCTATAGCCGATCCCGATCACAGCTGTGGACAAAGGGAGAAACCTCTAATAACTTCATAAACATTCACGACATATTCCTCGATTGTGATCGTGATTCTGTACGATTCTAATCGACTATGACCTAAAACACGAGCTTATTGTGGTTTACTGTGCATGGCTAACACAGTTTTAAAACTGATTGTTAGATAATTTATCTCGGGAAGCCTGTTGGGCCTACATGTCATACCGGAGCTGAAACATGCTATTATACATCACTTGATGATTCGATAAATCAACAGGTCTGCTGCGTTTATCTAATTGTTTATGGCTAATGAAGTGAATGAGCTTGTGACTTATTTGTCTGTTAATTCTTGTAGGATGCAAAAGATAAACTGGCCTTGTCCACTCTGTACACGTTAGAATCTACAATTTCCGAACGCAAAGCAGAAATAGAAGCGCCACAAAATGGCAAACCCTCGTGGACAAAACGGCTATTACTCGACAACAACTTGCTCTGCTCAAAGATTAGGTATCGTATTTGAAATCAACGTTTAGTCCACTTGTAGTCCTAGTTTCCGACAGTTTCTGCATTTGCTCCCATCTTGACAGGGAAGAAGCAGATGAGTTGTGTCGAACATTGGAAGAGAACGAGGATAAGTCTCGCGCTGCCTCGGAAATGGCAGATGTTCTATACCACGCCATGGTTCTCCTTGCAGTTAAAGGGGTAGAAATGGAGGACGTCCTTCAAATTCTGCGCCAGAGATTTTCTCAGTCAGGCATCGAGGAGAAGAAAAGTCGGGTACCGAAAAGTTAATTAATCTTCTATTACGAGTACGTATCAATGTATCAATCGGCCATTGAAATTATCACAAGTATCAATTGGATCCAATTATTGAGAGTTCTGTGTATTCATGGAATAAGGTTTGAATTCCCAGTGTATTTCGATATCCAGCGGCTTAAAAACTGCCATAATTTTTGGTTCTTGTACTGTCCTGTTTGACAACTCTTTGTGAAGGCATCTACCTGGTTTTTCATTTTTTTTTATACAGCAGCTGTTGGTCTTTTCAGATGTACACTGATTTTTAATAAGCAATTAGGGACTATAAGAGAATCTTGCTTAAAGCTCATTTAACTATAATCTCAATCATTATTTTGGTGGTTGAGCTTTCATGGCTACCTACTGGGTTCATTGAGAAGGCAAGTTTGAAGTCACAAGGTATGTAAGATGCTGAGTTTTTGTTTATTTCTTAAATGAAAGTATGATATGAGGACAAATAATTTTTTATGTTAAGATTTTGGAGTAAGTTGTATGGAAACTAGAGGTATTATAATAAAGTTTTTGGGAGTTGGAGGACAAAAAAGAGAGGAGCTATAGTAGCTATTTGAATGATAGTGGTTTCGGGTTCAATTCGAGTTTCGAGAGTTCAGGTCCCAAGCTGGCTTGCTAGGGGTAGAGGTAATGGAGAGTGTATGGATTCAATTTTTTCTGGTCCATGGAACACGAGATAGAAGCAGGATCAGAGAGTGTCGAGACCTGACCCAGCTTGAAGGTCTTTGGGTTCGACTAGACAATTTTGTATGTAAGTCTAAGAACATAAAAGTAATGCACCTCAAAGATGAGGTATGTTGCCTAAAAGACGTGCAACGTTTGAAATGGGTGACATGAAGAGTTCGTGAGCAGTTAAAGTACCCTGGACTTCGAGGCATCCTATATACTCATGTAGCAACACCCTCTATACATAGAATGGGTCTGTGTGCAGTTAAAGTACCCTTTAGAACTTCGAGGTATCCTAGATACTCAGGTAGCAACACCCTCTATACCCAAAATGGGTCCGTGAGCAGTTAAAGTACCGTTTGGAACTTTGAGGCATCCTAGATACTTGGGTAGCAACACCCTCTATACACAAAATGAGTCCGTGAGCCGTTAAAGTACCGTTTGAAACTTCGACACATCCTAGATACTTAGGCAGCAGTAGAGACTAGGCCTAAAATGGGTGAACTACACCCGCTATACCTAGAATGAGTTCATGAACGGTTAAAGTACCATTTGAAACTTCGAAACATCTTAGATACTCAAGTAGCAACATCCACTATACCAAGAATGGGTCCACGAGCAGTTAAAGTATCGTTTGGAACTTCGAGGCATTCTAGATACTCAAGCAATAGAGACTAGGCTTAAACTTTCTAGAACCCAAAGTAAAGTCCGGAACATCTATTAGGTTAAAGATGGGATGAAAGCCTACAAGTAGGTCTAAATTTTAAATTATATTTAATAAAATAGTTAATTTTAAAAAAAATCTCAAAATTTTGATAACCATTTACCAACTATGTATGATTAAAATGTTATATTAATAAATAAATTAAAAAAAAAAAGGAAGTAAGCAAATTAAGTATATATAAATAGATTTAAAATGATATAAAATTAAAAGATTATCATAAGTTGACTTATAAGGAATAAGATTAAATTAATATACATTATACAATTAATCTCTTAAATTAATACTAACAACATTATTGAAACATCCCATAATTTTAAAAATAAATAAATAAACAAAAGAGCTAATCCCACTTTCTATAATTTATCCCTCACTAAACTATTTCTATAATTACAATAACAATATTCTAAGAAAAGGTTAATTTCACTTAATATAATAATAATAGTAATAATAATAATAATAATAATAATAGTTTATGAAAAATAATGATGTGACCGTTCTCTTAATTATAAATATTGATTTGAAAGCTCTCTTTTTGTTTAAGAGGTTGAGTCTCAATCAACTGATTATTGAAATATTTTATTTTATTTATTCCAATTTTTACATACTTTTATTTTTTATTTCAACTATTTTTATTATTTTACACAAAAAATTCAATATTTTTATTTTTCTTTTTTTATTTTACCCCATTTATCTTAGGCTTCCGTATTCATGTCTTGATAATCCAACTAACTCCAGCTACTCGTTTTAATATTTTTTTTTGTCCGGTAGAACCTATTTGAAAACAGGGTTACAATCTAACCCTGTTTTTTTTAAAATTTTTTTTTTTAACATTTGTAACCGATATTAATGATGTATGAGCTTGTAAATATTTAATATTTAAATTTTACTAAATTTTTTAATTATTGGTGTAAAATAAATTTTATGGGATGTACGCCGATTATGTTAGAGAAATCTTTTGTACTAACCAACCCAAAATTTTGAGCTAGTTAGGATGGTGGATTGGTGACCCGAGCATATATTATAATCCAACCCTACTCTAGGTTGGTCGAGTTGATTGGATAAAAAAAATTTAAACTCACAAACCAACCCAAACTCAAAAAAACCTAAACCAATTCAATATTTATGATTGGAGTTGAGTAATCTAAATTGGTTGAGTTCTCCGGTTTAAGAACTTAAAGGGATAAGTAAAGTCACTATTTTAAAAGCCCACAGATATGCTCGAGAAACCAACAAAAAATAATCCGAAAGTATAATAGACCCAAATAAACCACGGGAAAAATGAACTAAAAAATAGCCGTTAAAGTATAGATAATACTTTTCACCTGGCGTCCTAAACAATCCATTTTGAAAATTACAAAACTATCCTCGACTTTTTAAGAGGTACTCTTAATATGGTTATAGTTCAAAAGTTAAACGGGAAATCGGCATGATCGTGGTTTAGACGGACGTGACGATAACGGAGACGTTTATTAAAAGAATTATATATATTTTTTTTTACAATTCACCAAAAAAAAAGAAAAAACCAAAATTGTTTTCTTTTCACACAATACCCTTCTTCTTTCTGTTTCACTCCGCAACAAAATTTGGTGTCATTATCCGTTCATACTCTCTTAGTATAAATCATCTTCTCTCAAATTTCTTTAATATCATCTCAAATTTTCACTGTTCTTTCACCAAAAAACATTTGGGTCAGTGGAAACGAAGCGAAATCAACATAGCTGGCTGGTGGGGATCGTAAACCCCACATAGCCGCTGCTTTGAATTTCCCCTTTTCTTTTCTCTTCGTGTTCTTGTTTAATCAAGATTCTTCAGAAAATGGGTAATGATTTTGAGTGATTTGATTATCGTTTTGCTTTTTGTTGTTGATTTCTTGGGTTTCTGGAGTTGAATTCATTCGCTGATTCTTGCAGCTTAGTGATTTGAACACAGCCAAGATGCTCTGTACACGACAGAGATGAACGAACCCACCCATTCTTTCAAGTTGCAGTAGCAGACAACACTATTTTGCTGCTTTACAGCCCACACATTACTCAACAAAAACAACAATATATATCAAATTTCAATCCACTTTTTTCTATTTCTCTCTCTACATTATCACTTTCTTTGTTCTTAGTCATCATTGATCGTTTTTTCTTCCTTCCATTTGAGTTTTCACCACATGGGTTTTGTTCACTGATCGTTTTGGGGTTTTGGGTTCTTATTAATCTTGTTTTTGAGGTTTGAAATTGAGTTTAGTTAGTAAAATTAGATTAAATTACCTCTGTTCTTTCTCTCTCTAGGTACATTATTACTCTTTTGTTGTTATTGATATTGATATTGATCCATTTTCTTCCTTCAATTCGAGTTTTGGTCACATGGGTTTTGTTTCTTTGGTTGTTTTATCAAAAGGGTAGGCCGGGTTTTGATCTGATTTTGATTTTGTTTTTGTTTTTGGTGGCGTTGAAATTTTAGAATCGTGGGTTTTGTGGGTTTGTTCTTATGGTTTTTTAATTTGGGTTGGTTTGGTGGAGGGGAAAACGAAGCAATAAAAACTTTGAGAAATTGTTGTCGGCGCGAGGTCACTTTCTGTCGGCATTGTCTGTAGCCAATGATGCATTTGGTATTAATTGAACCAAAAAGTACTCTCCCCGTTGTTTCTGTTGCTGTTTAGCCGATTTCGTCATCTTCTTCCTTCGATTTCAACTAAGATATTTGCAGCAAGTGATGATCGGCCGCCATTTTTGTGGTTTTTGAGTTCTTTGATCCTCCATTTTTGAATGTGGGTTGAATTTCATCAGCTTTTCTCATCCTTTACTGGAAAGAAACCTGTTCTTCATTTGCTGATTGTCAAATGACGCAACGTTTTCAGAAGATCTGCAGCTTTTTCCATAGCTTCTTCACGATTTCAGGTCTGTTTTTAATTGTTCTTCTTGTTCATGATGATGATGATGATGATGTTCATGTTCTGTTCCTGTTGTTGTCGCTGAATTTAGATGTTTATTGTGATGAACATGATGAAGATCTGTGCCTTGAACTTTGTTCTTGTTGTTTAATGTAAGAATTGTTTTGAAATCAAACACTTCAGGATAGAGGACACACTCCTGGTTTGGTTTCTGATCATAAAAATTTGTTTATGAAGTGATAGAATTGAGGATTCTTTGGACTATGTTCGATAATTTTTAGAAATTGTTCTTGTTTTATCATTGATGAGGTTCGTTGTTCTTAAGAAAACATTTGAATTCTTAGCTAAATTCCCGAAAATTTGTTTATGAAGGGATAGAATTGAGGATTCTTTAGACTAGGTTCGATATTTTTTAGAAATTGTTCTTGTTTTATCATCGATGCGTTTCATTGTTCTTAAGAAAACATTTGAATTCTTAGCCAAATTCCCGAAAATTTGTTTACGAAGGGATAGAATTGAGGATTCTTTAGACTATGTTCAATAATTTTTAGAAATTGTTCTTGTTTTATCATCGATGTGTTTCATTGTTCTTAAGAAAACGTTTGAATTCTTAGCCAAATTCCCGAAAATTTGTTTACGAAGGGATAGAATTGAGGATTCTTTAGACTATGTTCGATAATTTTTAGAAATTGTTCTTGTTTTATCATCGATGTGTTTCATTGTTCTTAAGAAAACGTTTGAATTCTTAGCTAAATTCCCGAAAATTGTTCTTGTTTTATCATCGATGAGCTTCGTTGTTCTTGAGAAAACATTTGAATTCTTAGCTAAATTACCGAAAACAATACAAAATCATTAAAAGACACGTAAAAATAGATATCAAAACAAGGAAACCCGTAGGTAGAAGTAGTATTATCAAAAATCAAACGGATATCAAACGAGAACGGATCACGAACCGACGAGGGTCGTTTAAACTTGTGGTGGTTTGAGTGTTGTGTTTCCTTTCTCAGGTTCAATGTATAAGAGTGTGTATAGTCATTGTTATACTGTAAAAAAGCATCAACGGTGAAGGGAAGAACTCACATGAGATGTCAAGGATCCTAGCAGCAATATTAGGAGGTTCTGCAGGAGCTGTGGCATTGGTGGGATTGATTATTGTGCTTATAAGATTCTTAGCTCGCTCGAGAAACGCTGCAAGAACATCGGAGACTGGCTCGTCGGATCCTTCTATTCAAGGTATTGGTTTCGTCTTTGTTGCTCGAGTTATCGATTAGCACACGTAGTTTAATCTATCATCAGCTGGTTGTGTTTTTGATTACTTGTAGTGGGAAGACATGTCGGGATCGAGTTGTCTCTACGGGATGCTAGGCGTTTCGAGATGGCAGAGTTGGTGTTAGCCACTAATGATTTCAGCGACAAGAACTTGATTGCTGAAGGGAAGTTCGGGGAGGTCTATAAGGGCATGCTTCACAATGGGATGTTCGTCGCTATCAAAAAACGGCACGGAGCGCCTAGCCAGGACTTTGTGGATGAGGTAATCTTCATTTGTTGTCTTCAACATTGATTAGGGGCACCCCCCCTTTGAGACATGTAGGAACGATCACGGGTCGTTAAAGTCTCGGCTCTCGAAGTATTAACTCGACACATGAATTTCATACTGCTGCACCTGTTTTTTCTTTTGAGATCATCACATATTGATTAATGTGAAACTAACCGCCTAGGCCTACCGCTAGCGGATTTAAAAACTTTGAGGAGAATCCCGAACGAGAAAGCCCAAAGAGGATAATATGTGCTTGCGAGTTTCACTTGACATTCACATATTGAAACAGCCCAAGCTCACCGCTAGCAGATATTGTTCTTTTTGGGCTTTCCCATTCGGGCTTCCTCTCAAAGAGGACAATATTTGTTAGCGTTGGGTTCGGGTTGATGTCCTCTTTAGTTGCTCATTTTGCCTTACTAGTTAGTGATCGGCTCCCTTTCATCTATTTGAAAGGGACGGTACTTGCATCGATGTTCAGTTCATGTTTTCGATCTAATTGAGTTCATTTACTATCAGGTACACTACCTCTCGTCTATTCGACATCGAAATCTTGTAACTCTTTTAGGCTACTGCCAGGAAAACAATCTACAGTTTCTCATCTTCGATTACATACCGAACGGAAGCGTTTCTAACCACTTATATGGTAATGGTCCATCCAGCTGCGTAGCGAAAATTTTATGGTTCCTACGTGCAAAAGTGCTATTTCTTAAAGAGCACGGGTGTTTGCAGGCACCGAGCAGCGTTCGGCTGAGAGGCTCGAATTCAAGATCAGACTCGCAATAGCTCTGGGGGCAGCTAAAGGTGATCTCTTGTAGATTGACTAATCATCGAATATATCAAATGGTGAAACCAAATTCTTATCTATGAATGCCTACAACGAACTCGTCCCTCGGTTACGTAACCCGATCATCTTATGCAGGTCTGTCGCATCTTCACTCCATTACCCCTCGTTTGATACACAAAAACTTCAAGACGTCCAACGTACTCGTAGACGAGAACTTTATAGCTAAAGTGGCCGATGCAGGACTTCACAATGTCATGGGACGATCTAGCGTTTCGGAATCATCGTCTCGAGCAACAACGGATGAGATATTCCTCGCTCCCGAGTATTCATTCTAAAACTTTCTACAATCGATATCAACACTGCATGTTCTATTCGTTCGTATTTTTCATCTTCCGTCCTCTTTTGTAGGGTAAAAGAGTTTCGACAATTCTCTGAAAAGAGCGACGTATATAGTTTCGGCATATTCCTTTTGGAGTTGGTAAGCGGTCAAAAAGCGTCGGATGCACCTGTTTCCAATCCAAATTATACTCTGGTTGATTGGGTAAGTCGTTTTCTCTACTCAAAAGCTCATAGTCGAACTGATCGTTGTCTTGCTCTAAATAATCTCGGTATCGATCGTACGTTTTTATAGACATTGTTTTTGTTAACTTTCGAACATGGTTTACTTTTCTCGATACGACTCCGATCTCAGGAAAGAGAACGAAGGTTAATGAAAGCAATACGGACCCTACTAGTTCACATAGGTCTAGTCTAGTATATGGCATCCAAGTTGCAAATAGGACATTATTCTCGTTTATCTTGCTATCTTTTGCGTTTATCGAATTCTGAAACCGTGTTACGTTCCATACCTATTTGAAAGATACAAAGCAATCAGAAAAAGAACGATATTGGTAGCGTTATGGATCCGAGGTTGGGGAAGAAGAGCTTCACGGAGGAAGGTATGGGTGAAGTGATGCATTTGATCGCTCAATGCGTCGGGTACTCGAGCGAGAGGCGGCCGGTGATGAGCTATGTGGTGATGGAGCTTGAAAGGATACTGGAGAAGGAGATGAACTTGACAACAGTGATGGGAGAAGGGAGCCCAACGGTTACTCTTGGAAGTCAGTTGTTCAAAGCCACAAAGTAAAAGGGAAAACACAGGCTTGTTTATGTTTAGTTCTTTATTATTATTATTATTATTTTTTAAATATTAAATTCCCTTTTAAATTTCCCTCCACATCAGAAAATATGAGCAACAGACCTCAGCTGTTGTAAGTGTATAAAAAAGAAACAGCTGAATCATTCTTTTTTATCAATTTTTTTTTAATAATTTATAATTTTCATTTATCAATCCGGGAATGACTTTGAGTTATTCACGGTTCGTTAACGAGTGTTCGTTTCGTGAGTTGAACCCAATGAATTAGTTCCTAAGTTCCGCTCTTTATAACTCCACTACGACGTCGTCATTTGTACAAGAGGTCCTTACCTTCGAAAAATACGTACACAAGTAATCATGGTAGGACCTATCTTTTCATACAAATATTTCATAGTCTTGAACTATGCTTTTTAGTTCGAGCAAAATTGGATGTATAGTACTTTTCTACACACGGTCAACGTACGTGCATATATACCCACCAGGGGGGCGTATACGCCCTTGGGCTTACTCTTTAGCTAGTGCACGCTCGAGTTACTAGAGTCATGAAGGAAAAGGAGCCTGCATAAAATCATGATGTACATAGATATCGTAATGTTCGCGTTGTAATTATCATAACGGAGAAGTATCCTGATAAGCGTGAGATCCCTATATGTAGCTTAACAATATTACATAATCTCACCCTAAAAGTCTCACCCTCCCTAATGGAGAGAGTATTATTTGATTATAAACCCATGATCATTCTCTAAATTAGGCGATGTGGGACTTTGATCGAACACTTTTAACTTCCCACTCTCACCCATGTGGGATAACTTTTGTTATTTTTATTTATTATTTATTTAGTTTCTAACTTTTAGTTATTTATGAATTTTTAAATTGGGATTAAATTCTAAATTTATATTTTTGAATAAACTATATTTTTCATATAATTAAATTGATCAACGAAAAAAATTAGAATGTTAGGACAAATAAATTGATTAAATTGAAGCCCTTAAAAGATGAAAAAAAAAGAAAAAGAAAAAAAAAGAAAAATGCAAAAGAAAAACTAATATTAATACTAATAATAATAATGTCTAGAGGGCGGGAAAAAAAATATAATAATTAAAACATAAAATAATAATTATTCTAATTAAAAGTAAAAATAAAAAAGGAAAATCCGGTAAAGAACGCTAGACTTTACAATTGCCCTACTGGGGGTTGGGCTTAGGATGAACAAGCAACCCAAGGTTTAAGTTTCGTCCATCTTTCTGCTCACTCTCTGATTCATGTTTCTCTCCGCCGCCGCCGCTCGCCGGTAACGCCTCCACTGCCAGTTTGCTTTCTTCTCTTCTTCTTTGTCTCCTGCAACCGAAGGTTTCCCGGACTAGGCAATACCACGAAAACAGTTGCTGCAATCGAGAATCGCAAGTACCAGAATAAGCTCTCCTTGTTCTCAGGGTATTTTTCCGTTTAATCTCTTCCTAATCTATAGTTTCTTATTTCAAGCATGATTTGAGTTTAATTACGGGAAGATATTTGTTATACCTTAAGATTACTGATGTTGTAATGCAATGATTTGTGTTATCTCAAAGGTTCATGACAATTAATTTTTCCTATCAGGAATTTTTTCTTTTATATATGTTAATCTACAATTTTTAATTTAAAGCATGATTTTGAGTTAAACGACGGTGAATTTTTCATGTACTGATTTTGTAATGGAGTGATTTTTGTTAAATCATAGGTTAGTTACAATCAATTTCTTCTAACGTGAATTTTGTTGATCTTAGTGATGGAATGATTTATTCTACCATGTCTTCTTTCATGTTGGAACTTATATTTCAATTGTTTTTTTTGGTTATATGTTTAGATGAGATTCAAAAAGCAAAAGCGTCATCGGAAAGCTGTGAGATTTTACACTACATGTTTTGGATTCAGGGAGCCGTTTAAAGTCTTGTGTGATGGAACTTTTGTCCACCATCTTCTCTCCAATCAAATATTGCCGGCCGATGCTGCCCTTGCTAAAGTTCTTGGTGGCCGAGTCAAGGTTTTCACCACTAGGTGTGTTTTCTTTATTGAGTCAATCGTAGTATGTTTCTTCCTACGCCCATTTGACCTGTTATTTTTCATTATCTCATTGGTTTGCAGATGTGTGCTCTTAGAATTGAAGGCCCTTGGTCCATCCTACTCTAAAGCTTTTGAGGCAGCTAGTAACCTGTCTACTGCAAGGTCAGACACAGACTTGTCTTATTATTTCCATTCTTAATTTGAATAGCTTCTTTTCATGATCTTCGATTCTTGACTTTGTCATGTTCTTGTGGTATTACCGTTGGTTGCTATGAGGTAGTGTAATTGTATTTTCTTGTTCAGTTCCATCTTTTCTGAGTTGAAATTATATTTTTGCGTCAGATGTGACCATGAGATAAGAAAGCATGCTGTGACATGCATCATGGAGGTGATTGGTAAATCAAATGCGGAGCATTTTTTTGTTGCCACCCAAGATACTGATCTTAAGAAGCAGCTTCAAGAGGTTAGTTTATTTAATGAATTGATCCCAAAATTATTAATTTTCCATTGCATCTATACTCTTTTCGTTTGCTTCAAGAGCTTATTATCTTTTTCCAACCTCCTAGTTATGAAATGTTTCTAGTTTCTGCCTTTTTAACATATGCACTTGATTAGAAGTTTTCTTGGAAGTCTAACTATGTATGTTTGGACTGGAACTTTTGTTATTGTTGGCCATTATTTTTTATTTTGTTTAGATTGACTTATCCATGCCTGCTTGTATGGAGGGTTTTCTGAAGGGCTGAAATCTTAAACTTGGTGGTTTAATTCTTTTGTATATGTTTGCAGATACCTGGGGTCCCACTTATATTTGGTTTGAGAAATGCACTTTTCATGGAGCAACCAACTGCCTTGGAACGCCAATTTGTTAAATCTTCGGAAGAAAAAAGATCGCATATTTCTGAGGTCGAACTTAATTTGTTACAGAAAGTAACGAAGGACGACGAAGAGGAAACTGAGATAACTAACGAGGATGGAGATCTGGTAGGCAAAAATTCAGAGATGCAGGTTTTGGAAAAGAAAAAGAAAAAGAGAGGAAATTTAAATGATTTGAAGGATAGACCTCAATTTAAGAGAAAGAAAACAAAGGTATTTTTCCATGATAACATTTTCTCTTTATTGTAGACTTGGTTTTGTGCTTCATTTTTGCATTATTACTAACTTGTAACTTTGATGTTTTGGTCATATCTTGAGCTGTCTATATTAAGATGCCGTGGAAGGAATAGTCTGTAGTTCTTATATTATTTTTTAGGGGAGTGCATTGGACCCTAGTCTCTTTTCTAAAGGAATTGGACAGAAGAATTTTCGTTTGACTATGAATGCATGTTTTGAGGATGAGTTTACTGATTTTCATTCTCTTTTAGGGACTTTTCTTCTTATTGGCTCTTGGTGGGTTCATAGTTATAAATAATTTCTTGTAATGACCTAATTGCGTCCTTTGGGAGGGTACTCTCTCTTCACCTGCCCCTAAGTTGTTGTATTTCCTCTGATTTTTCCCAATACATTTTATGTTGATTGTATATAAAAGGAACTCTTCTGACTCTTAATTCATTCCAACACTTGCAGATGATAAGAAAGTAATTTAAGATACAAAGCCAAGATTTTTTTTTTTTCATCACATTAATGAAAACTTATGTTTTCCTTCTTGACATGTACATTTTCATTTGCTCCTTCCTATTTTCAATTGCATGCATGCTCTAGGATTTTCTAGTCACTTGACTAGAGTTATTAGATAAGAGATAAGCCGGTTTTTTGTGAAATTCCTTTTAGCTATTTTGATTGCAATGTTCAATGCTGAAGCATTTCATAGTGATGTTTGTTATTTAATAAATGTTCAATGAGGGGGGGGGGGGTGTACCTGGGTTGAGTTGGGAAAACTTTTTGAACCAACCTAAAATTTTGAGTTGGTTGGGTTGGTGACTGAGCAATCCAAATAATCTTAAAAGTAGGATAAGGTTGTGTTGGGCTGTAACCCTATTTTCGGGTTCCCAAACAAAAAAAAAAAATGTCAACCTGCAAATTGACTCGAACTTTTGGTTTTCTAAAAACTCAACCCAACCCAAATCAGAAAAAAATCTAATCTAACCCAACTTTTAAAGTTTGGGTTGGGTAGTCTGGGTAGGTTGGGTTCTTGGGTCATACGAACACCCCACGATGGAGCACTGCTATTGATTATTTATGGTGTCATTCCTTTTTTTGTTTTCTTTTTTCTACATAACACTATTCAGGGTACCATTCTGTTGCTGCTCTTAGTTATTTTATGATGATTATATTGCTCGGTCAGACCAAGTTTCTTAATCACTTTCATTTTCTATTCTCTCCACAAAACATTGCAGGGTCCAAACCCTCTTTCGTGTCTGAAGAAGAAGAAAAAGGTCGATCCAAACCAACATCCAGTTTCAGAGAAGGTAGTTTGCATCTTCTATAATTTCAAATTATTGTTGCATGATTGCATTGCATTTCATTCGGTTTTTTGTATTATTATTATTTGATAGGATTCAATAATTCATTGAATGAAATGAAAACCAATGGAAAACAAATGGGAGATAAGATGCTATTCGATCGGGCAAAGGAAGCTAAGAATTGGGAACATAAGTCGTAACTGAAATTTGTTGAGTTATATTATTTTCTTACTTATGTCTGTCCTTAAACTAGTATAGTATGAATAATGCCATTTCTAGTCCTTAAGCTTAGAAAAAAAACCATTTTTCGATTTAATACCCACCCAATACTTGTTAAAAGCAAAAGAAACTCGAGAAATAAAATTCGTCTAAACCAAAAAAAGAAAAAAGAAAAAAACGGTAAGAATCAAAATGATTACTTCTTAAAGTTTAGCAACTATAATTTACATTTTGAAGCTTAAAGACAAAAAAAAAAAAAAAAAAAAAAGGGAAGTTCAAAGGCAAAACGATCCAGTCTCTATGGTTCATTAGAAATTTATATTTTCGTAAAAGTTAAATATTCCAATAATTTTCTTTGAGATTGGTATTTGAGGCTGATATCTTATGCCTAGCATCCTAGAAAACTCTTCAAGTATGTTTTTTTTTCCATCATGAGATAGCATGAAAAGAAACTGTTACTTTTTCTTTAATTACATCTTACTTCCTAACCACAATAT